GAAGCCTAGCATCCTCTTAATGAGGTTTGCCTCCTTGCATTGGTCTCTTATTCCTGAGGAACCAGGTTCTATTTGGGGCACACATGAGATCTAATAGGCTTTTAACAATCATGACTGAGCATCTCACCTCAATGCCATTTAGTTAGGATAGTTTTTAACATTTTACCTGGTTTTAATCATTCAGTGGATTTAAATTAGTTATATGGTTTAATTGGTTTTTAATGTATATCTTACTATGTTTTAAAGTCTATATTTTTTAATACTGTGAGCTACCTTGAGTCCCCTTATTGGGAGAATGGTGGCCTATAAAGACAAATAAACATAGATTAACTAGACCTTTGTTATTTTTCCTACATGTGTGTCTTCTTTGAAATGGTCCAGATTGGGTTTGTAACTCTGAGGCAAGGAGAGCAGATTTGGGGAGTAGTGGCAGTAATTCTGGGTGCACTGAGCACTGTTGAATAATACTCCCTAAAAGACACAGCCACAGAAAGGAGGCTGCATGTCAGGATCTGGGGCGAAACTGTCCAGATTGTGCTTGATAGCTCTCTCATCTCTTGCCCATTCCTTGGATCTTTCCACCAGTACAGGTGTTGTACTTTGACAAGCAGCCATAAAGCAGTAAACTGGTGGTTGCCAGTGAGGTTAATTGTAACCGTTTTGCAAGAGTATCCTAAATTACTTATAATCCACTTGTGAGAACTTTGTCATAGTAACATCCTAGTTTGTCATTAAATGGCTGATATTTCAGCATTGAAAACTTCTACAATTTCAACAAGCACGAGAACAGGGGTAATTCCAGGGCTCTGGACTCCACTGGGTTTTACTCTGAGTCAGAGGACCCCCCAGGAAAGGGGGGGGAGTTCCCACAGGAGAGTGGGACCTGTTACAAGTGGGGGCTTTGGAAACGCCAAATTTCAGATGGCAGTCTGTCTTTTGGAAACTTTTCACTTCCCACACGCAACTGTCTCGTGAAGTCGCCATGATGGTGAGTTAGCTGCTCAGAGAGGGGAGGTAGAAGATTTATTATCTGACTGCAGGAACAGAGATTAACGATCTGCTGCTAATCTACAGCAAGTAAAAGATCAGATCTGCTCTTCGAAAGCTGATAAGAAGGAAGATCTCAAGCGGTATAACTTTGTTAATACCTATAACATTGGAGTTTTTCTTACTACGTCACAACTTGGAAACGAAACCAACTCTGTTCTTCTTCTCTCTTAACCCTCCCTCTCAGAGAAACTGGCTTTTCATAAATCCATAAAGTCAGGACTTAAGAACTCTAAATAACTCTGCATAATTTAACCTATGTGACTCTGCATCTAGCTACAAGGTGGATTATAAATCAAATAACATCCTCGTAAGACTGTAAGTGCGTACTAGCTAATAAATCATGAGGGAAATCTGAGTAATTAACCTGCTGACTGCTACAGCCATGGATGGAGGGAGAGACCCATTATTGCAACCCACAATCAATTATTTTAAGGGACTTCTTCAAGAATGTCAATCAAATATAATCAATCATTTCAAGGCACAACTCGAGGAGGTGGGAACAGACTTGAAGATGACATTTCTTTCTCTGCATGAAAAGATAGAGAGTAAAGACAAACAGCTTAAACAAATCATGGAGTTTAATGAACTGTCAGAGAGAGAGATTGCTTTAAAGCAGTACAGACAAGCCATTGAACTTATTCAACAACCACCGTTGCCAGAGAGCGAGAGGAAGCTTCAAAAGTTGGACAACATGCCTAAAAAAGATGAAAGGGGGGGGGGCTGGGAAGGGAGAATGTATTTTAAGACTGTTCCGAGAGGAAAGAATGTAAAGGGGGAGAAATGGGCAAATTTGAGGGCAGAAATTTACGATCAGAGATCACACAGATCTATGTTGTTCCAAAACCAAAACACTGACTATATCGGGATGAATTTAGTCAACCGTATAGAAAATGTCTTAAGGAAATATTATAGATGGCATTTCAAAACTTGGGGAAAAAACTCCGGCCAGAGATGAAATTTAATGTTAGATAAGCACATGTAATCCATGAATTTTAGAAATGATGATGAATATTAATAGTGGATGCTTTGTTTGTGAGGCACGTACAGTGGTGCCTCGCATAGCGATCGCTCCGTTGAGCGACGAAATTGCTTAGCAACGTAGTTTTTACGATAATGGCAAAGCGACCCTTTTTTAACAGCTGATCGGTTGTTTCAAAATGGCTGCTGGGAAAACAAAATGGCTGCCCGCTGTTTTTCCTTGCTTAAGAGGCAGTGAAAATGGTGGCACTATGGAGGATTTTCGCTTAAAGGTGAGGTTTTAAGCCCATAGGAATGCATCAGTCATGTTTTAATGCATTTCTATGGGCTTTTTAATTTCGCTTAGCGATGTTTTCGCTTAGCAACGTTTTTTCCGGAACGGATTAATGTCGCTAAGCGAGGCACCACTGTATATTGAGACATCAAATATGTGTGATTATAATAGTGACAATGTTGACAAGATTAGAAAGGCCAATCCTGATTTGATAACACTGGAGCTGATAAATAAAAATGAAAAGGGAGGAAGTTACTTGCTGAATAAATAATAGAAATCATTGGTTTGAGATATATATAATTACTATAAGCAAATTTGGCCAGATATGAAATTTAATGCTAGACAAGCACATGTAATTCATGAACTTTAGAAATGATGATGAATAATAATATTGGGTGCTTTTGTATGTGAGGCATGTATATTGAAATATCAAATATGTATGAATTATAAGTGATTATGTTGACAAGATTAGACATATATTTTTTTGTCTATAACAATGGAGATCTTTGATGAATGAACGGGCATGTGTGGATACTATGGGTGGATAAATAATCTTAAAGAAGAAATGAGAAATGTTTATGATGAGATTTAGATAGATGGAAATGCAGATGAGCGAATTTATAAAATTTATTATAATCTTAGGACGTTAAATACTCAATTAGATATACAAAATAGGGATGTGAAATATAACATGTGTAGATGCACATGGATATACTATTCTTGTAGTCATAAATTATATAATAGATAAGCAGGTATGGGAAATACCTCACCGCTTGTATGTTTAGTTTGTCTTGTATGTTTTGTTAGTCTTATGTGTTATTGTCTTGTAGGTTTTTGTTGTTTTGTAGGTATGTATGTTTTAAAAATAATAAAATGTTCAAAAAAAGGAAAAAAACTCCTACAGCTAGTTTAGAAGGTGCTTTTTTTTTTTTTAAAAAAAAGGAAGACTATTTATTGACTGATGGAGTTTATAAATTGTGGATGCAGCCAATGTGTTATGTATGTGTGTGTTTTCACACCAACTGTGTAATTGAGTGTGTGGTTTTAGAGTTTCTGGATATTCCTGCATGCACAACTGAATTATAATCATGCTTCTACATCACTTTTACATTTCTTCAATTTTATACACACTAACACTCATGAGGTGGTCGCATCTCACCCTGGTGGTTGCTTCTTCCCCTTCATTGGCTGACCTCTGAATTCATTATAGAAATGCAGAACAGATACTAGATACAGTCCCTGACCAGCTGCCTCTCTATTCGTATCTCTTATGTTTGGTTTGAAAAGCAAAATGGAAAAGGAGATTGTCAGACTGAATTACAATAAACAATGTTTTCATGCCACAAAGTCTAAAAACACTTCACTTTTAGGCAGCTTTGGGCAACTTCTAAACTCCCTATAATTCTTTGAATTCTTAAACAGAGAAACTATCAAACACCTTTGAAATCTGATATCACAAAGGGAGTAGTGATGATTGCCACAGTTGCCTATCTGAAACATTAATATGCTGTTGGCTCTAATTATGGATTTTCTCCAATATCTGCTTCAGACTTGAACTTCTTCCCTGAAACTCTTCCACCCAGATCTTTTGTTCATACCAACACTTTAGCCATATATTTATGGCAAAAACATGGGCTTGGTCTGTTGCATTGTAAGAGCAATCAGTAAGAGAATTTTAGATTACTGGAGGGCGTGGGGGTGGAACTAGCTGTGGAAAGGGTTACACAGTCCCTTCCCTTCTGCTTTATAGTACCCCCTCCTGAAATTGCATTGCAAAGGTCTGTGAGGTATTTTTTACACCTGAAGTGATTATGCATTTTGCAGAGTGGTGTGTGAGATGCTTAGCTGTGTAGGCATCAAAGGCTTGTGTAGGCTCTTTTATCTTAAATCCCAAGCTGAAATCTGGGTGAGGGGGACACACCTCATGTAGGCATTTAACATTGCCATCAGAGCTTGGAGAATTTACTTGTTGGAACTATATCTGTCACATCCCCTTAGGAATTATAACCAGTTACAGTCGGGGGTTACATCCAGGGCGCCTTTTTCAAAATCTTGCTATTCTCTGAACCAAAGTTGAGATAATTTCTGACCCCAAGAGCTGCACAATGGGAAAACAGTTCTCTCACCTGGGTACCTTTTCTTCCTAACTTCTTGGACTGATCGGTATAATAGTGGTAGTGCCTACATGTGCAAATGAAGGAAGCAAATCTGTGAGAGTAACTCCAGAGAGGATTTACAGAACAACACTTCCTGGCAGGGGAACTGATTAGCAACAGGGGAGTTAAAGCTCATTGCAGGGTCAACAGTTTGTGCCCAAATACAGTCCCTGATTTGGGGCCATGAATAAATGCATAAACATTTGCCATACAGTCTCACTCTTATGTCTGAAGAAATCGACTTGTCCACAAAATCTCCCATTAAAATATAGCTAAAATAATACCAGGCCAGTTAGTATTTGTATCTTCAAGGAGTGTGTGCATATACCATCTTATCCTTTGCCTTGGACAGCAAAATAGATTCAACCAGAGAGCTAGCAGCTGATAACTAAATGCCAGTTTATTTAACTGTGGGGGGAAATAAGCCACTGTGGGCTTTCTAGTGAGTTATTAAGTGCCTTCAAGGGTTTCAGTAGATTCTTCAGGCACATGATAAGTGTTACTCACAAACTGACAGAGGTTCGATTTTCCTTCTTCCCTAGGTTGACAGAGAAAAACTGCACCATGCTATCAGCACCGTCATGGTCAATAGCATTTTCATCTCTCTGCCCATGATGATCCTTCTCTTCCCCATCATGAAATGGAGGGGAGACCCATGCAGTTTGCAGTTGCCCACCTTCCACTGGTTCGTTCTTGAAATGGCAATTTGTACTCTAATAGAGGAAATTCTTTTCTATTATTCTCACCGGTAAGGCACCCAATACACCAAGGTAACAAAGTCACATTTTTTTTCTTTCTTGGCTCTATAATACACTGTCATCTTACTGGCCAATTAATAATCGACTCATCCTTCTTCCAACAAGATAAAACAAGGTGTTTCTCAGCTAAATTCACTAGCAGCATATAATACTTGAATTTGTTCCATTTTGCTTCCACTAACTGGCTGCAGCTGTGGAGCCTTGTAACCAATGTTCCACTATCTGTGAATGTGGGATATAGTGTCTTTTGCTTCCTCCTGTGCAGGCTTGTTCATCACCCTCTCCTGTATAAACATATCCATAAAAAGCATCATGAATGGACTGCTCCTATTGGCATAGTATCCCTCTATGCCCACCCAGTAGAACATGTGGTAAGTTGTGTTACAAAGACCAAGTTTACATAAGGACCAAACTATGTAGATAATTCAATTAATATTTCTTTAGCAAGAGCTTCCCAAAGAGGAAAAGATTGTTCATTCTAACACACTTTTGCCTTAGTCCACATTTGACAAAGTAGCTTTTTTTAAGGACTAATATTTCAGCCCCTACAGTGTGGATCCATTAAAAATAATAATAAAAAGAAAGTGGGTCCAACTACTCTTTTTAAAGATAAGCAAGACTGGTCATTTTAATTGATTTGAGCTATTTTAAATCTGGGAACATTTAGGGTTGCCTGTTTCTGAACAGATAATGTTACTTTTAAAAAACATCATAATTTGAAACCCATTTGCCCAAACTCCCCCAAATTCAGCACAGAGTAAAAGCAGACTGTCTGCTACAACTGTGTCATATTTGGTGTTTGAAAGTTTTGTTGGTTTGGGCTGACCCCATTTTTAGAATTGTCTTATAGAATGTTGATTTTTTTCTGACACCCCAATATCATTGCTGTACTCTCATGCAGCAACAGTGCTACCAAGAATCCATTTATAAAACATTTTGTGAGGCACAGAGAACAGCAGTCTGAACAGGAAAAAAGAGAATCAAAAGTTACACATACAGACTCTGTGATGGGCCTGAGGGCTGCTATATTGAGATTTGAGGTTAGGATGAGAGAAAGTAAAGGAACTGAAATAATTCAGGATCTGAAACCTGCCATTTCCGGGTGTTTGGTCTAAGCCCGGATTCCAAATAGAATTCCTGACACCTACAAACACCTGTCTTTGAGTGTTTGTAGATTAACGAGACTATACCACAACTCTTTCCTCTCTCAGACAGCAGATCAGCTTTCCCCAGCTATGCTGAGTATGCTGTACATTCTAATAGTACACATTTAGAAGGCACCAGACCAGAGATGTCTGGATCTGCCACTGTGCCAAGTTGGGGTGCTTTAAAATGCCCGTCAGAATTGCCTCAAGCATTTAGCAAAATTGGCAGGAAGTAAGTTGGCAACGACCAATGGATATCCTAATGACCCTGAAAGAAAACAAAGGGGTTACCTACCTGTAACCATAGTTCTTCTGGTGGTCCTCTGTGAATTCACACAAATTGTTTTTTCTGCGCCTGCGCTGAATGTCTTGTAAGATTTTAGAGCTTAAATGTACAATGCTAGTGGGACATTCCCCTGTGGAGCACATGCTCCACCTACCTAAGATTCCCCTCAGTTCCTAGAATTTGTCCGCTGGGCAGAAGAATCATTTAATATAACCCGTGACGGACAGAGGGGAGGATGGGTGGGATGTGTGAATTCACAGAGGACCACTAGAACTATGACCACTAGAAGAACTATGGTTACAGGTAGGTAACCTCTTTTTCTTCTTCGTGGCCTCTGTGAATGCACACAAATGGGTGACTGGCAAGCTTCACTTACCGGATGGTGGGACATCACGGTAGGAAGGATGCCAATACTAATCTACAAAATCCAGCATCATTGCGTGCTCTCACATATAGGTGGTAATGCCTGACAAAGGTCAATGTGGTAGACCATGTTTCAGCATGATAGATTTATTATTATTTATTTATTTATTTGATTGCAGCATGATAGATGTTAGGAATCTTGATTCCACACTGGGAGGCAGTAGATGTTGACAGTGCTCTAGTGGAATCTGCATTCAAATGATCAGAAGGTGATTTGCCTGATAGTTCATGTGACAGAGAAATAGTTTGGACTACCCATCTGGAAATGGTGTCATGACTTCAGCCAAAGAAGATCTAGAATCTGAGGGGTTAATTACAGCTGAGGAAAATGCTGGGCAATCAGAAACACAGACAGCTGAATCACCACCAGATTCTCCTCCCTCCCAGTAGCCAGAGTGAGGGATAAGCTTTGGCAAGGACTCATGACACGAAGATCCGAGGCTTGCATGAACGCTTCCCATAGGAACATCAGGTCGACCAGCCCTGAGTTTTAGCAGGATGAAGTGTTTGGATGACTGCTGCTGCTATAAAATCTGCATCCAGAGCCTTAGAAGCTTGTGGAAACAACAGGTCAGCACCCTGGCTTGCATCCACACCTCTGCTTATCTTGGACCTTTGTAGTGGAACCCAAAAGATGACATCATTCCTGCATGTCAATCAAGGGATAGAGCCGGAGGGGCGGAGTCAGAGTGGCAGTTGGGTAGCTGGAGGAGACAGAGTGGAGTTGGAATGAGATAGGGATAGAGAGAAGTAGGGACAAGAAGATGTGCTAGGGTTTAGGAATAGATAAGAAGGGGTTAAGAAAGGGAACTGAAAGATTGAAACATGTGGAACAAGCAGGAATGAATATATAAACATAATATGAGAAACACCAGTGAATGAATACATGAAACAGTTACATATTTAATTCTCCTTATGATTTTCTTCATTAATAAAAGAATGTTTGATTACACCCCTGATTCCCAAGTTCTATGAGCAGCTCCTGTGTGTGTGGGAATTGTAGTGGTATTAAGAGAATACCTGGTGGCAGCGAAAAGGGCGTATTTACCTTTGTGGAGCCCACAGATATAAAGGACACAAGGGGGATCGCCACAACCTTGTTTTCTGAACCCTTTGGACTCTTGACTTCTGACTACGGTTTGTGTTTTGGCTTTAGCATTTTGGTATCTGCTTTGCATCTTCTGGACTTCTGATATTGGACTGGTTTATTGGACTGTTGCCTGTTGAAACCCCCGGGAACATGACAAATGGATTGTGATGAGGCTGGGCCTCTCTTGTGAGGCCCATGGAAACATATGAAAAGTCTGTTAGTTTTCCTGAAAACCTTAGTTCTGTCAATATAAAATGCATCTTATGTCTAGCATGTGGAGCATGCGCTCTAGGGAGGTTGATGGTGATGGGAAAAACAATGGTAATATAATTGGTTGATTTAGATGAAATTCTGATTCAATCTTGGGCAGAAAAGAGACATCAAAATACAAAGTAACCTTTGGATGAAATTGGATAAAGGGTGGATCAGAATGAAGAGAAGCAGGCTCACTGGCTCTTTTAGCAGATGTTACAGCCACCAGAAAAGATGTCTTTAGAGAAAGCAACCTAAGATGTGAAGAGGCCATTGGTTCAAATGGTGGGCACATGAGAGCATTAAGGACAATTTGTAGTGACCATTGGGGAATAATACATTGACGTGGTGGATGGATGTTATTGAGCCTTTGAGGAATTTTTTAACGGTAGGGTGAGATAAAACTTTTGCTGACGTGGAGTTATCTGGTTGATGGACAACAATGGCTGATATATGGACTTTTAAAGTGGAATGAGAGAGTCCAAATTTGAAGAGATGGAGTAAGAAGGTAAGGAGAGTAGATGGTGGCTTGTCCCATGTTCCTTGATTAATTTGAGCATCGATGGAATAAATGTAAGACTAAGTGGAGGTGTCCTTTCTTGATTAATGTCATCGAAGATTAGATCTGCCTCAGGTGAGGGAGGTTCTTCGACATGTAGTTGTAGGAATTTAGCCATTCTGGATATCATCTGTGAATAAGAAGTGAGATCCTCTGAAGGAGATGGAGGATGATTATCAATAGCATCTGAGGTTGGTATAGGGAGGTTGGATGGTAAGGTAGTGCGTATCGCACACACTTCGGTTCTTGATAATATGAATGTCCTTGGTATGCTTCCATGTGCTATGGATCGCAATACGGACAACTTCCTCCATGTCAAAATGATGTTACTGTGGAAAATTGGTATACTGGTAGTACTCTCCATACGGAGGCATATATCGAGGAGGAGATATATTTGGGGAGATGTTTTTGGGGAGAGGGTTGAGAAGAGTACGATCATGAAAGTTGGATTTCAATCGCCCACCCTGATGCAGGGCTAGAATGGGCCAAGGCCTGCCTGGCTGGTGTATCAGCCATTGAGAGTGCCTCCATTCCTCCCAATGTTTTTTCGGGGAGAGTGTCGAGGAGAGCCTGATCCTTCCATTTCTCTCAATGTTTTTTCGGGGAGAGTGTTGAGGAGAGTCCAATCCTGAAAGTTGGACCGCTATTGCCCACCCTGATGCAGGGCCAGAATGGGCCAAGGCCTGGCTGGATGGCGCACCAGCCACCAAGAGGCCAGTGTGCCTCCATTCCTCCCAATGCCCTCGGGGAGAGTGTCGAGGAGAGCCTGATCCTGAAAGTTGGACTTCAATCGCCCGCCCTGATGCAGGGCCAGAATGGGCCAAGGTCTGGATGGTGCATCAGCCATTGAAAGGCCAGTGTGGGGAGATAGGCTACCAGTTGACACCAGAGTGTGCGCCTTTTTTGTTCATGGCAGTCTCCCAAAGGTGAGATTGGAGCCTTTGCTTAAGTGCTGACTTGGTCAATTTTTTACATGCTGCAGAAGAATGAGTTGGGTGTTGCTCGCCCAAGCAGAACAAACAGCATTTATGGCCATCAGATAATGGGATATTTGAATAGCCGATACACCTTTTAAAAGGAGCTGTTGAGGCCATAAAGAGTGGGAAACCAGAGGGAGAGATGGTTGAAGAGATGGGGGAGGGGCGGGAAGTCAAAAGCGGAAAAGCCAAAGAAACAGAACTGACAGGGGAACGTCGATTAGTTGATTGGAAAATAGGAAGGTATCAATTTAGGTGTTGATTAGAAGAGGAAATTCTAGTATAGTCGCTAAAAATTGCTCAGAAACGCACTCTGTTCTTCTGGAAATCAGATCAGCACAGCGGAAAAAAGGAACTGAGGGCAATCTTAGGTGGGCGGAGCATGTGCTCCACAGCGGAACATCGCACTAACTTTGTGCTTTTAAACAGAACAACCTATTTGTGTGCATTCACAGAGGCCACAAAAATACAGTGGTGCCTCGCTTAACGATGTTAATTGGTTAAAAAAAACATTGCTATGGGAAAACATCGCTAAGCGAAACACGTTTTCTGCACTAACTTTGTGCTTTTAAGAAGAACAACCTATTTGTGTGCATTCACAGAGGCCACAAAAATACAGTGGTGCCTCGCTTAACGATGTTAATTGGTTAAAAAAAACATTGCTATGGGAAAACATCGCTAAGCGAAACACGTTTTCTCATAGAGATGCATTCAAAACCGGTTAATCCATTCCAATGGGAACGGATTACCGTCCTTAAGCGAAAATGGCCATAGGAAACATCGCTAGGCGATACAATGTTTCCCCCAGTGGAATGCATTGAAGCCTATTCAATGCATTCCAATGGTTTTGCAATGTCTGTTTTTGCAATTTTAAGTGTGTCTTAAAAGGTTCAAAAACAGTTTTAAATGCTTGGGATCATCAGTGCACCTTCTAAAACGTGTGCAAACTTAATTTGGTTTTGTTCTGACTCTTCCATGAGAATTATGTAAAGCAAGGAGACAAACTTGGTCTCCTGTTCCCAATTATAAACTTGTTAGCTTTCTTCCCCACACCGAATACCATTTTCTGAAGACTATGTATGGCTAATATTCTCCTGTCATGAATTTGAAGCTGCCATGCTTCCTCTTTCAAAAAATGCTTCCTTTCCTTCTCTTGCAAAATGTGATAAAGCAAGCTTTTGCTTGCAGTAAGATGGAGATGGTGAGTTCAAGACGACTAGCAGCACTCAGCTGTGTGAGCAAAACTGCAAGACTAGAATAGCATCAGGAGACATCTGAAGGAGCACCAGTATGTACAAGTCTGTATCTATGCTACAAACCCTTAATGAGGTTGAGTGTATTGGTCTCTCCGTAAAATGTATCTCTTCATATAATCTATGCCATTTCCCACTAGAACAAACTTCTCATATGTGGCACTTAAAGCCAGCTCTTATTTTCTACCTTTTTCTCTCCCTTAACACAAGCTACCCTATAGGATTATATATATTCATAATTCTGTGTACTGTTTGTATTCCAGGTTTCTAATGTGCTGCCTGTGGTCACTGGTCCTTTCCTTTTAAGATCTCATGTTATTTCAACCACTGTGTGGCTCTCTCTTGCCCTTCTGGCTACTACAGTCTCACACTGTGGCTACCATCTTCCTCTCCTGCCCTCACCGGAATTCCATGACTTCCATCATCTCAAGTAATTACGTTTTGTTGTATTATAGGCTAAATTTTCACTCGTATACATGATGGAGTAGGGGGACAAGCAAGGAGCAGAATGGTGTATACTGTGGCTACTGGCAACTCTTTCACCTAATCAAGTCATTATTATGATCATTCAAAAAACCTGCTAACGAGAGAGAAATCCTGTCAGTACAAAACAAGTCTTCAAGATTGTGATTTTTAACCACAACCCTAACACCTGAAAATACAAGCATATTTCCCCCCTCATATTCAGCCTTTCAACCATGATCCTAACATCACTTTAGCCATACAATTCTGTGGAACGAGAATTCTTTGGAAACAGCACACCATTATTCATTATTATTTTTAAGTGATTGCTTTCCAATATGAAACAGCTATTCTTTAGTTGACTGGACAGTTCAAATACGATGTAGGCAAATTAGACTATTGCCCAAGTAAGCTAAAAGGTGTGTCACAGATTACTGCTATGTACAGAGCTTAGCCTTACATGCTCAGTTGTTCTACTTTAAAAATCGCCTCTATTATGCACATTGGTTAAAAAAACTACCAAAAAGTGACACTGCTCCCTGCTCTAACAGCTCTTTTTATTAAAAAAAAAATTAAATCTGTAAAGCCAAACTATGTATTTTAATATAGAAGAGGAGCATCCATGTGACTACATGATGTTTCAAGCAGTATGCTGTAGATGTCTTCCAGTAAAAAAAGAAAGTAAGAAAGAAGCACAATCTACAAATATCCATAATAACCAGAAAATATATATATATAAAAGCCAAATAAAACAGAGGCATATTAGAATATTTCACATCTTTTATTTGGCTTCTATATATATTTTTCTGTGATTAGGAAGCGCACATAAAATAAAACATGGAATTTTGAAATCTAATATATTAATTAGATTTCAAAATTTCATGTCTTATTTTATGTGCACTTCCTAATCACAGATTAGTTTCTGTTTATCATCACTTACTAAATTTCTTCTCTCTTCCCCCCCCCCCCTTTATTAGGTTCAATCAGTGTTACGGGGTTCTGGGATTGTTGGATCGCCTGCATGGAACAGACACAATATTTAAGCAAACAAAGGCCTACGAGAGACATTTTGTTTTGTTGAGTCTCACACCCCTCACAAAAAGCATCCCTGATTCACCCAAGAAGTTAGACTAAATCTTCCTGCAGTTCACATCATACTCCTGTATCTAAATAATCACAAGACTCTGGATATGGGTATAACAATACATTTTCTAATGAAAAATCACTGAAGCAAGCTTTGGGTTACTGCAATCAGAAGACAGAAATCATTTTATGCTACAGTACAATATTTTGGAAGATAACAAGACATTTGTGCCTCCCCAACTCTAAGAGGGAAGAAGAATGCCATCTACCACTGGAAACAGGTTGCAGCTGATTAAAAGGGCAACTGGAAATTAGGCCCTGCTATGCTGGGCCCTACTACCTTGACAGCATCTTAAAAAGCAGAGACATCACCTTGCCAACAAAAGTCCGAATAGTCAAAGCTATGTTTTTTCCTGTAGTGATGTATGGAAGTGAGAGCTGGACCACAAAGAAAGCAGACCGCTGAAGAATTAATGCCTTTGAATTGTGGTGCTGGAGGAGGCTCTTGAGAGCCCCCTGGACTGCAAGGAGAACAAACCTATCAATTCTAAAGGAAATCAAAGCAGAGTGCTCACTGGAAGGACATATCCTGAAGCTGAGGCTCCAGTACTTTGGCCATCTCATGAGAAAGACTCCTTGGAAAAGACCTTGATGTTGGGAAAGTGTGACGGCAAGAGAAGGGGACGACAGAGGATGAGATGGTTGGACAGTGTCATTCAAGCAACCAAGATGAATTTGACACAACTCCGGGAGGCAGTGGAAGATAGGAAGGCCTGGCATGCTCTGGTCCATGGGGTCACAAAGAGTTGGACATGACTAAACAACTCGACGATGCTGGTGTTTAGACTTTTTTATATCTTCCACTTATAGAAAAGTAGTTACCAACAAGGACAATCAAAAGCAAGGCCTCTTAATGTATTTAATTCCAGTCTTCAGTAAAGCAGCAATTTTTTATCTTTTGCTTTTGGAAAGCCCACAGACTCCATTTGCACTACAGTCCTCTGGTATACAAGACCTGGAGATAAATCTTATAAAGCAATACCTTGCAAGACATCAAGTCTTTGGCATAGAATGTTCTTTCTTGAATAACAACAGAGCCAACAAAATTGCAAGGTACAAATATTTAGGTGGCCATTTCTAAGCAAGTTTAGAGATGGAGCCAAAAACTGACTAAGATAGTTAAGGGTGCTATAGTACAGATCTGCTTATACTAAAAAAAGGTATAAGTGGTTGTGTCTTTTTTCTGGAATTAAGAGGCAAAGGGATCTGGTGTCCAATATTAGACTACGTATTATTTCATGCTGGGTATCACACAGCAGAAGGTAAGAGGTAACATGAGCCACGGCACACACAGAAAGATTGCCCTATCTATACTGAGCTAACAGTTTCTTCTAGAAAGCTAGGGTAGATGCCTTTCTGTCCAGTGGTTAGTGTTCTGTGTGTAAGTAATTTGGAAATGTGGAACACCAATCAAGTCCCCAATTAATAGTCTGAAGTGGGAAAGAAACAAGTCTACTACCTTAGGCTACTTTGTGACCATTCTTTGGATAGTACCTGTCACTTAGGAATCTTGCTGAAGTGAAAGTGCAACAGAACATTCATCAAAGATCTGCTACTACAAATGACAACTGTGTATTGAGTCTTGGTGGCTGAAATCCTGTTGCATAACCTACTGGTGATGATGCAATCAACAGCAGGCGAGATTTCTGATAATTAAAACTTCATACTTCTGCCATGTGGCTTTTCTGTCTCCCATGCAATATGGGAGCCACAGGACTGGAGGAGGAAGTCTTTAATTACTAAAAACCATCCCTTGCTGGTAACACTAAAAAGTGGTAGAAACTTTCTGTAATTAAAGATTTTCTCCTCTGGCTCCCACACAGTATTACATAGGAGTTGAAAGATACAAAACATAAGAAGCTTTTAATTACCAAGAATCACCCCTGCTAGTGATGCCATCTTCCTTCCATAGATGTTATGACAAGAGGATTTCAGCTACTGTGCTGGTAGAATTTGTGTGTGCTTACCAGTGTCATTTTATCACAGGTTTCTGCTTCTGTTCAACTGTCAGTGACTGATGGAAACAAATTCAAAAGAGAAAAGAAAATTGCAAACATGGTCTTTTGAAGTTTTTATTTTTATACATTTTTTGTATTAAAAAGGAAAAAGCGTAATTACCACAAATTACAAAGGACTAAAGCACTACTAGAATAATGAGTCACATCAGCCTAGAAAGCAGATATTTTGAATAATATTACTGTTTATAATACAGGCTCTCATTCAAGTATTTTACAATTTCCCCCCTCTTCTTCCCTCCCATCCCCCCAATGTGATGATGATTCTAGCACATGGGTTAAGAATTACATACTATTCACAGGAAATGGGATTGTGTATGGAGAACCATATTAATTTTCCTCCCAGGTGATATATGGTAACAGTTGGGCTTAAAATTTTCTCAAGAATAAATACAGCTGAAAGTGATTACAAACACTTCTGGGATTTTATTTCAGCATAAGGGGTGAGGCTGGAGCACATACACACACAAAGCCTGCTCAGGAAAAGCAGGCAAACCAAACAAATAGATGTTCTTTTCTACTGTGACCCAATGATCAGACATCTCTATACAAAACAATCACTGGATCTCTTGCAAGTTGCTCATCCAAAGTTTTTAGCAGCTTAATACAAACTTCACACTAATGAAACTCCAACCCTCATTTAAAGCTCCATGTTGACTTCTGTGTCACAGTTTCATAGGCTGGACATTCCAACCATCAAGGTAGTGCACTACAGGGACAAAGATGGCAATAAGAGAGAAGGATTTAGCCATTCCTGTTCCACAGCCAGATGATGTTACCAAACTGGAAAGGCTTGGGGGCAGGGGGCAAAAGCTTCTGCCAAGGCATCCATCTCCCTAGCCAAAGGATGTCCATGGCCTGGCAATCCTGTTGTACTAAGAGATATATATTCTGGGAGGAAGGACGAACAGATGCTGGAAGCAACTCTGGGAAGGAGGGCAAAGAGATGTAAAAACCAGTAACACAAGGAAATAAACATAAGAAAAAGGGCAACAGAAGGTCAGACCTGGAAGAAGAAACCCTAAAGCCACAAAGGAATGGTTAAGCCCATGCCCTTTTCATGCTTCCAACCATACGGTGTCCTCATCACAGATACATCGGTCCTATTTTCAAGTGTCTTCAGAAAGTGAAAATGTAAACTAACAGAAATGTTATCCTTACAACTCTTTTAAAAACAACTTTGTCCAAAACCCTGTTGCTGAGATGAAATTCCCCCTCCCCATAAAACCACTCATATATGAAATTTATTTTTAAAAATAACATAGGCATTAAACAATGAGGATACCCAACCCTTCTAAAACCTAGCTGATTTTTAAAAAGTTATCAACATATCCACATTTCAGAAGAGGATCCATATGGAGATATAATAGAGCATAACAGTTTGCTGCATTAACAGATTTTGATTGCTTTTGCTTAACCAAAAAAAAAAAAAAGAAAATAATGAATGATGGCTCCGACCCCTTTATTTAAGAAAAATCAAAAGTATGGCAAGAGTGCTGAGGTCACTGTGTCATTGTTAACAGTACAGCCAACTAGCCATCCAGAAGCAAGATGGGCAAGTACAGAACTTTGAAGGAACAAAGATTGGGGGGAAACGGGAAAAATGATAAGGGACACAACAGAGCACCGATGCTTAATCACAAAGGGCACTTAACTTTTGTTGTCAACCCTAGAACAGATTTCAGATTCCTTATTGTTACTAGGTCACAAGGAGGCATGGGCACCATCAAACAAGGAGCACTTAATACTTTAAGATACCTTTTGCTTATGATAGAAACGTCAGATGAGATCCCACTGGGGAACACATACAGTACATACACTCTGCTTTAACAAATGCCTCAGACACAGGGAAACAGATGGTCCCTTCCTAGGCTTGACTCAACTGAGAAATCATCTTCCTAGCAGGTACCACAACTGTGTATTGTCAGAGCACAAGATGCCCCCTTGAATTAAAAAGATATTTGTTTGTAGCAACTACTGGATTATTAACTTATGTTCTCTCCCCAAAAAGATACAAGGTCTATTGTCGTCTCTGCTCAAACTAAGAATAAAAATAATTTTTTAAAATGTTGAGCTACAAGTTGATACTCCTCCACTTGATTGTGTGCATGCATGCACATGCATGTATGAATAGGGGGAGGAGTGCTGACTGTGTCAACAGCCATGCAGAGTGCATCAGGTACAGGGCTCCCTATACAGAATATGATGCAACAAATAATCTAAGATCAATGCCATGACCTTCTCACACTGGGCAGCCAAGGCACTGACTGGATAAGCATGCTAACAGCTACATGTTTAACAAATGTAATCAACACCATCTCAAGATGGTATAAGAGATTTTCATGATCCACAATCTCCAAAAAGCTAAGTTTCCTTCATTAGCAGGTTACCTCCAGCATGTCCCAAAATGCAGGATATAAACAAGGACATTCACTCAAAAATTAAGGTGCGATTTTCATAGGAATTACAGTTGTGTGCGTGGCTTCCTCTTCCCATAATCTATACCTGCCTTAAGTGATCTAAACTTTGTAAAAATATTCCTCTGCATCATAAGTAACAGTCCCTTACTTTGTCCTCAAGTAAAACAAAACGAACCAGTGGCTCAAGATTATCCACTACAGAGGTGACATTCCAGGACAATTTCCATCCTTAAAAAGGTTTGAACAAAAATCAACTGGATAATCCCACTAGGTTACTTAAGAGTCTGCACACTCCTTCCACGTCTCACAAGGAACAGTTCCTCCACAAATGCTTTGCCTTGTTTCTTCTCTGCATTCTGTCAATGACAGAGGTATCTCAGTCCATCTGCCCATCTCTACAAACTGAAATCTAGCCTAGAGTTTTTAACAAGTTTTTTTTTCTGTATGTAGGACTAGAGAAACTGGAAACAAGCAAGAGAAATCTCAAATGCCTATTCCCTATTATGGTGGTTCTGGTGTTACAATGCATCCAGTAAGTTACACTGAATATACTCTGCTACAGCTGAGTAGTGAGGAATACACTGGAATACTTGTTTTCATTACTTGTGGCTTTTTATGATACTGCGAATGAAAGGCTGAGGATTTGGTATGACTCAGGATTACATCTAATGCAGCAAAATAAAACCAAACCAAGCCGCTTGCTGTTATTTAGTCATGCTGGACTGCATGGTCACCCAAGATCGTTCCATCACAAACTTCCATTCATAGCATGCTCGGCACAACAAAAAGGCAACAATGTTAACTAGACAAAAGAACCCTGGGCAGTAAACCTTGTCTCCTTAGTTACTGACATTAGTACATAGTACCAAAAATACACAAGAAGTTGAAATCCTGCTGCTTAGTATATGTCACAACTAGATTAGGTTCACTGAATCTGTGGAATTTACAGAGGAGTTGACTCACCAAATCCATACTGATTCAGTGGGCCTAATCTAGTTGCATTCAGCAATGTGATTTCAGCCAGAAAGTGACAGATCAATGAACTGCCCTATCATCTTATCCCCCCAAACTCTAAAGCACTATGTACTTGCTCCAAATGGCTAACTGCAGGGCATACAGTATCCCCTACTGTCAAAATAATGGACATGCTTTTCAGCACATTAAATAAAGTCTGAAGTATGTAGTAAGGGAATTTCTTCCCCACTCGCTCCTGCCAAAAAACAAACAAACAAACAAACAAAACCCACAAACAGCCCTGGATCCAAAACAAGGTTATTTCTGCTCACTTTTTAGACTACCAGCCTTTAGGCATCTCAGAAAGCCCCTTCCTCTAGTTTCCCCCCTGAATGTTCTAGAGATGCAGGTTGGGGATAAATTAGCGCCTATCACCGTGGAGGGTCCTTCTGCCCATTCATTGCCAGGTTGGGAGGGTATAATTAGAGGACTGTTTAGAGCCACAGTATAGTATGCTGGACCATGTAAATGGCCTTGTACTCCTCCTTTTGACCACTTTTTATCCATTCTTAGCTATCTTAAGTTGCAGTAGCATAATGACCAAATGACCTCAGATCTTCCCTCCCCTAATGATTTCTCATTTTCAAAACAGAATTAATACATGAGGGGTGACAACACAATGCAGAAAACAAGAGAACAGTTGTTATAAACAAGTCGTCTGTATACATCTCCTTCCATCTTCTCTGATGTTTGATCCTGTAGCTCCAGTACCAGCTGCTTTTTAAGATGTTAAGAGCCATTTGAATATACACTGTAAATAGTCTCTGACTTCATTGCAGCAGATTACCCAAGAGCAGCCAAGTCAAGCATGGTGCTTTGTAGTAAGATTTTATGAAACAGGATTGAGTGGACATGGTTCCAGTACATGAAGTGAGTTTGTGATGCAAGACAGTCAAAGTGTCGGTAGCTAAGGAAAAATCTAAAGTTTGCCTTCCTTGGCTCAACCCAGGGAAGGAAGGCAGGTCAGCATGCCAGTAGTTAAAACAGTCTACAGAAAAGGAAGCCTGCATAGCAACTTTAAAACTTAGCAAGCTGCCTCCAATTTGGAAACTACCACACACAAAGATCCCGCTTTTTTCTTTTTTTTCTTTTTCTTCTTTTTTTCTTTTTTTGCATTAAAGCTGAATTTTCTGTACACACATTCTTCAACCACATATATTAAGAGCAAGGATGTACACCTCTGGATTCTCTCTGTGTGCTACCCAATATCCCAGCACACCTGCCTGCCTGTCTGCCCTGGGATAGGAAGAATTCATGAGTTCCAGGCCTGCCCTAGTTGGGGAGGGAGGAAAATGGCAGTGTACCTGGAGGTCTGAGTGAGGCAATAGCATGAGCAGTTGCTGTTGCAGGATGGGCAGCAGAACAGTTTATACATTTACATCAGCTTCAACTACACAATAGCCGAAGTGCCCCAGTACTCTCTGCTCCAGAAACACCACTATCCAGATGGTCTGCAACAACACCCACAAAGATGTCAATGGTGTTCCAGTTGATGTAATCATTAGAAAGGGAAGATAACTAGCCACTGCAGACAGAAGTTACACTGAACAGGAAAACAAGAGACTTATCATAGCCTGGATGAGTCCCAGGCAGATGCAATTTTCCAAACTTGCTCAAGAAGCCAGGGATGCCTCCAGATTCCCAACTCCACAATAAGGCAACTTATTATTCTCAAGGAAGGAAGCAAGAAATAGATTTTTTAAAAAAACTTTGTGTGTGTGATTTGTTTGTTTTCAAAGAGGCAGCTGATATTAGAAAGTCTCAGCATGCCTATGTGATGGGAGACACTGTGCAAGTTTATGCTCCACCCATCAGGAAAACAAGAACGGGGAAAGCCCAACACAAAGGTGGGCCCACATTCAGCCAGGATCCTTTGGTTGATGTCCAGTAGCTAGTCTGGGATGGAAGCGATAAGCGGCACAGAAGGAAGTCATAACAGATGTGACACTTGACGATGGCTGTGGAAGGATTCCTTGTGCATTGTAATATCCAGAATGGGAGGTGCCTGCTGGGCTTGAAAAGCCAAAAGCCAATTTCCAAATAGGAGCACATTGTTCGGCCCACCCTTCCAGCTTGTCAGTTGGGCTGCATAGTTGATCAGTGTTCAGTGACATGAGGAGGAGCTGGCACACATGGCTGCATGATGCAGAATAATTTTGGTTCATCCAAACTTCTATCAATAATTTAAAACTTGAGATATAT